ATTTATTATGCTCAGGGTTTTTTTTTTTTTTAAGCAAAAATTTGAGCATAATGACCCAAAATATTTTTTGAAATTTATCAAACACATTAATTTATTAAACTTTCGATTTTTCCTCTTAAATAAATTATCCTATTCTTTATTCAATTTCGCGCTTATTTTTTCATTTTTTTTTTCGAGGAAAGATGTGTTGAATATTAACGCTGAATAACATATTTCATACTATTTCATCTAGTTTATAAAACGAAAGAATATAAATGAATATGATGAATGAATGACTTATTAAGTGGCCAAGTGGAAAAAATAGAAATTTTTCCCAGGCATCACTCTTTGCTTTATTATTACTTTATATTTTATGCTTTAGGAGCATATGTAATGTCATTCCCGGGTGGTCAGTCTAGTGGTATTCAAGTAATATCACCTCATACTCCATTGAATTATCATTATTCAACATCTGCAACAGTTCCCACAGAAGCATTTTCCCGTAATTCCGTGAAACCAGAAGAGATAAGGTGTGAAGTGTTTAATTTTTTACAGACCATATGACGACACCATATAATTTTATTTAGAAATTTTCATTTTATTAGAATAAACTTATAAATTTATTTGCACTCAGTTTAAAATTTTTGAAAGCGATATTGATTTCATATTAACACCACATGTTATGGAATCTTTGGATGTAATTGGATGAATCTTTGGATCTATAAATTTTTTAAATTGATATTAAATGATTTTTTCATAGGAATCCAACGAATTTTGACGTGCAAAATATGCAAAATATAATTCCCCATAATGATTGCAGTAAAGATTTTGGTATATCAATTTATATAACTTATCTTTTTTAATGTAACAAATTACAAGTTGGTTTTTAATCGGAAATTGGTTTAAAATTCACAACACCTCATGTTATGGAATCTTTGTATATGTCTATAAATTTTTTAAAAATTGAAATATAAATTCATTCATAAAATTTCATGAATTGTAGGGTGAAATGAATATGCGGGTGAAATTTTTGAATTATAGATCGTTCTTCGCCTCATTCTCTATTGTATAAATGGTCTTCATCTTACACTAAATCAAAGCCTTATCCTATACAATTATCGGCTCGTCAGGATGAAATATCTGAAATAAATGGCACGAATTCCTCAGTAACTTCTCCCTTGCACAAGCAGTACCAGGTAGTTTCGAGTGCATATTGATTTAGAAAAACTTTAGAATTTAACGAATTTCAATATGCAAAATATATTATATTCCCTATAATAATTTCGTAAAAATTTTGGTTTGTCAAGTTATAATTCATCTTTTTTAATGGCATAAGTTCTCTATGCTGTTGTCTGCAAACTTCATTAAGAATAGAAAATTATTCATATCAATTTTTAATTGGAAATTGCGATGTAAATGGTCAATTCTCCAATTTGTTTCTCAAATTTGCAAATTAGTTTTCAGAATTCGCAAGCGTGGTGGAATAAAGTTAGTGGAAGTTGTGAAAATGTGCAATCAGAAATTGAGTAAATTTTAGATTTATCGAATGCATAGATTCTTATTTTTTCTATATTATTATTAGCATACGACTGTAGTAATTGTAATTTACTGGATTTTAGTGGACCTATTTTACAAGCTATTTAATGCTTAATGCTTTTCACAACAACTTTTGTGTACTTATTTAAAGTTTAACTGCTTAATTAATAGGTGTCCGGTTTCATCAACTAACTCTCAGCCATTTATTGTGTCAGATAATGGAACAATGAAATCAGTTCCTAATGAGCAGCAAATTAAGTAATGTTATAAATAAATATGTATATATTATTTCTCTCTGTTAACCTGTTTAATTTAAATTTAACGAATTTAGCACCTTGAGCATAGCCATCATAATATTTAGCTGGTTTTTCTATATAATTTGAAATGATTACCCGTTATATATTATAATATTACAGCGCTCGTAATAATAATGTGGCACAGAGACCAAAACCAATTCGAATGGATATTGATTTAAATACTCCTTTACCAGATGAGGAGACAAAGAAGGAGGAAAAGTCCAAAGGTTGATTTTAAAAATTCATAAATTAAAAAAAGGTGTAAACCAAAGTTGAATTAATATAATTTGTTTTATATAATATGATGTAATGGTAGGTCATGAATTTTCTTCCATGTGATGTTAATTACGAAAAGTTTCAGCCAAAGTCCCATCAACTGCATTCACAGTTCCGTTCGAATCGGAACAAACTAATTCATCCAGAGCTAAGCTTTCATTACAAGATGCTGCCCGAAAAAGTACAACTAGGTAAAATTTTATCTCGTACTTGCTTTTAAGAAATTTTCGGCTATGTGGTTTTATTATTTCATTGTTTTTGCATTTGGCTTTTTGGTTGGTAATGGGATTAAGTGGTGAAAAGAGATCTTATTAAATAAAAATTTATTTAGACGCCTTTTGCGTCGAAGTGCTCCAGTATATTCTGCGCAAGCAGCAGATCGTAAACTTGCTGAAACAGCTGATCCCAAGCAATACCTTCTAAAGAAAATGCTAATGGGAAGTGAGGCCATTTTCGAAGGTTTATGTTCTTGATGATTCTTAAATTTATTTAGAGAATATTTGTAAATTTTTTTAGATAATCGAGAAAATTAGGAGACATAAGTTTGGTTGCTCGCTGTGGTTAATTTGCTATGTATACTTTTTTTCAGAATCAAGTGGTGGTCCTGAATTCTTAACATCATCTATCAAAAATAAACCAGATAATGATGCCTTAAGTGAAGCTGGTACTTATATCGTCGGTTCGTTTTTTCTTCCAGAATTCCATCTTTGATTTTTGTTTTATTTAACTCATTTTAAAATCCACTCGGCTTGTGATCGAATTTTATCGAAATTTTTACTTATGTTTGGCATTTGAAGTTAAATCAATATATATATTATTTATACTTTCTCCTCTTTTTTTTTTTAAATTTTAAAAAATTTGATTTTTGATTTGAACATTTCAAAATGGTTTATTAAAGGGAACCATTATTGCGTTGCATCCATAAATATAATTTTAAGATAGCAGCGATAGATTATCGAATCAAATGGTTTCCTCACGATGTCTGAGTGATGAGGATGATGATTCTTCAAGGTTTGTTGGAATTATTTTTCGATTTGTAAAAACTTGCGGAGATTATGGTCCCAAAAAGGACATTCTGTTGATCACAATTCTACTTTTCTCTTTTTTTTACAGCTTATTTTTGATCAACGGGATTTGTAGATCATAAAACTTTCAAATATGGAAATTAAATTTATGCATGGTATTTGCTCTTTATTTATGCATGAATTTTTTCTTTCCAAAATTTGTTTTACTTTTATTCAGCTTAATTTGCCTGTTCTGAAATGATGAAATGATCAAAAGTTTAATTTTAGCAGTACAACGCCAACACAAGATGCTGGTCCAATTTTGTCCCCATATTCTATAACTGGGTTGTCTCAGGTTATTTTTCTTTTATTGGTATTAACTATAGTGTTGTATGGATTCCCATTCTTCCTTAGAATTTTTTTCTATGAAATAAAGATTAACTTTATATACAATCCTATAGTGATGACTCGGTCTCTAAGAAATTCTAATATTTTTTGTGTTGTCTTTTGCATGCTGTTTTTTGTGCCATTTATGACTTTGAATTTGTATAATATAAATTATTTCATTATGAAATAATGTAATATAACATCTTGTTGAATTTTGTATAAGCAAGAGTTATTTACAAAATACACATTTTAAGACTATTTTCTCAGTTCAAAATTTAATTCCGTACTTTTGACTGTTCTGTGAAAAAAAAACTGATCTGTGGACTCTTTGTTTAGCTTCAAATTAGAATTTAAATCATTTCACCGAAAACGTAAGCCTTTTTCAATGATACCGTCAAAGTTTGCTTTTTTTCTTAGGAGAAGGATTAATGTTTCAGTTATTTTAATTCTTTTTGGTATTTCGATATTTTTTTAGATCTCAACACATATCTTGGAAAAACCTCAGGTTCTTGGTGATAACTGTGGTCATTCAAAGGAAGTGATACCTTTAAGTCAACGAGAATCACAGCAAAAAGTAAATCTAAAGTCATCTTCATCGGGTTCAAATATGTTTGCGAATTCATCCAGTCGTTCAGTGACCTATACAGTTAAGCGGAATTTAGAAGTACATGGCCAACGTAAAGATTTAGTAAATCCACCATCTACTACGATTCAGCGGTTGTGTCATACGAGTTCTGGAAATCTTCGTTCCCCCACACAGGCAACTTCATTGCGCCATTACTCATCGAATCGAACGAATGTTCCTATAAGTTCAGTTAATAAAAATGTTGATTTCAGGTTTGTAAATTTTTTAAAATGATTCCTTATGGTTTATGCTGTCAGTGTTTTGACTATCAAAAAGTTGTAGCGTGCTAATAAATGTGTTTTCATTATTCTTTTTCATATTTGACGAAATTCAAGAATTTGCAAAAACAACTTTTCTTCTCTATCAAAAGATAATGTAAATTCAATAGATTCAATAAGTTTTATAAGGTGCAGAAATCGTGTTGTCCAATTTTATTTGATAAAACTTATAAATTATTTTGTGGAGGAAAATAAATTTTGTCTTTTTTTTCTTTTATGATCTGGTCTTTTATGATAACAGCAAATTAGATCTTTATTTCTTTCTTAGGCAATCCAGATGTCGAAGCGAAACGTGAGATATTTTTTACTCATCTTTTTCGAAATAATTCATGCAACGTTAGGTTGAGGTTTTCAATATTTCATATTTTGTGAGCGGAAATATTGCAAATTTTTTTGCTACGAATTTCATATTAGAAGCTCATAAAATTATTCGTACAAGTTATATTGGCCAGTGCAGTGAATTTTTTTTGTTTTAAGTCGGTGAATTCTATGAAAGTATTCTGCTCTTTTCTATGAGCATGCAGTAAAATGCGTTATTTTTATTAAGCGTATTCAATAGTGGTTTTATGAAAAAATAATTTTTTTCTGCATGGCATGAAATATTTGCTAGTTTTTATTTATGTTTCTATTTATATTTCTTCATTGTAAGGCGTATTATTATTATAGGCGTGGGGAAGGTGGACGATTCTCTATGCGTGGCTGCTCTATTTTAGGACCAAAAAATGTTGCTGCATCGGTTGCTTCAGCCAAAAATATTTCTATTCGTCCTCCTTTCAAAGTTGGTGGCAGTAATAGACCATCAACAGTTAGTTTTATTCATAACAGTTTTTTCAAGTTTAATATATGTCCATGAGAACTTTGTAATTTCTTATGCTTATTTTGCTGATTATTTGCAATTTTTTCATTCTTCTGTTTCATCGAAATTTGGTATTGTTTGATAAAATTTCTTATAAGTTTTAAAAATAGCATTTTTAGAACTAAACGTTGAAAAGAAAATGATCTCTCGTAGAATTAATGTTTTGCAACGAAAAACTGTAATTTTCTTTTTTTCTGGTTTACGATTCGTTATTGAAGGCTATCAGTGGAAGTAATACTCAAAAAGAAAGGGCAGATATGACTGCGTGGTTAAGACGCAAAGATTATAATCCAATGAAAGCTGTTGCGGAAGCTCGGAAGATGCAACAATTAAAGTCACGGTATCATTTTTCATTTTTGATAACTATAGCTGCATATAATCTGATATCCATTGTTTTACAAAAATGTTTGTTGCTAGCTTGCAATGCTTAACTGATGGACAAACGGTTGTTAAAATTGAGTAAGTTTAGTTTTATAATTCTATGTGTTGTGAGTTGTTGGTGACTATTCTGATGTGTCGCTATATTTTTTTCTTACATTTGAAACTTCTATTTCATCATTTTTTATCATTTTTTTGTTGATCCTTAGTAAGTAGAATCAGAAAAAAATTTTCAGGGCTGAAAATTTTATTTCCAATCGTTCAATATCTTTTCATCAAGGCACAAACCGAAAAGACATCTCATTTGTACGCTTTTTTCTATATGGATTTTAATTAGAAAATGGGCCTTGAAAGCACTTATGCACTTTCTTTACTGCGGTCAGTGGGATCAACTTGACCACTAATAAAAAATTGCTAGAAAAGAATTAAGTGGCATAAATTTAAGAAGGTGGTGAAAATGAAAAATGAAAATGAATTTGAAAAATGGTATTTAACAAGATTATGTATCCCTAACCAATATTTTTTTTAAAAATTATATAAGTAAAATATAAATTATTTTGAAAAATTCGTAATGTCTCGTAATTTGTAATTCGTATTATCTCTTATGAAGTTCTCTCTTTTTTTAGCTTCACAACAATTTATCAAAAAAGTGGAAACACAACAAATCTGATGATAATTTGATCAAAGAAGAAGATAGCTGTGGTCGGAAACAAATTTTGACAAGTTATTCAAAGGACGTTAGGACTGAAGATGTAAGAAAATTCCGTTTAGCAGATGAACTTGATGAAACTGAGGTCTAATTTGTTGTGGTTTATCCTTTGTCTAAAGTAACAAGAGCGATACATAATTCACATCAAATTAAGAACTAATCTGTGAAAAAATATTTATTCAATGTTATTCAATATATCAAGTTTGTGAATATTACTTTTAGAAAAAAACTAGAAATTCCCGAACCAAATTTGGAAAAAAAAAACACTTTATTTATAGCGGAATACAGTTTATTATTATTTATAATCGAACGAGATTTAAGCTACCTGTTTTGGAGCTGGAAAGGTGCGTACAAGAACTGGCTGCGAAGTGCAATCGTAGCATCGAATTGATCAAGTAAAATGTATTTTATCGTTATGCTTTAATAAATATACTTGAATTTACTTATAATATATTTATTTAGAAATGCTCATCATGGTGAACTGTCTAAATCTGTTGAGAATCTTCTTGAACTTGCTGTTGAACCCTCTAAAGAATGTCAGATATCTGTTGCCGATCAACTTGACCGACTTTCATCGGCATTTGATGCAATTCAGAAATATTTAGAAGTAAACAATACAGTTCTTCGGCTATTTGAATTCAGCTTCAAGGAATTCTGTAACTCTGCAAAATGAAATTTTGTAAAACTACTTTCTGAACTAGTTCTTTTATTCATTTAAAATATAAAAATAGTTCTTTTATTCTTTTAAAATAAAGTTGCAAAAGAGGATCTATTTTTTCTATTTTTTTGTATGTTTTTTGCCATATTTTGCATAAGAAGTGAGTGTTTTTTTAGGCCTTTTCATTATCTGCATCCGTACCTGCGTCTCCTTCAATTATGTCACCATTAACTACTCCTTCTTCGCCTCTGAAATCAATATCACCATATCGAAAAAACAATGTACTTATTTCAAAGACGATTGCGTTAAAAAAAAACTTATCAGGAAGTTCAACGAATCTTCAAAAAAAATAAATTTAGAAGAATAAGTTTTCTAATTTATTTACGAATTACAGTGGTTTGCATCAATAAAAATATTTTTCGTTGCAGTGGAGTTTTTCAGTTTTTCCTTTTTCCCTTTATTTATTGTGTTATAAATAATTATGTTTTCGTTTGGTCATAGTCCGGTCACAGGTTTTTATGTGAGATTTTTTATTGCTCATGTAGAATTTAAAAAAGCATACAGATTTTCTTATTGGCTATAAATCGCCTATGTTACTTTTCCTTTGGTTTTTTTGGGTTTTGTTTGTTTTGGAATATTTTGAAATATTAAGCATTGATCACTTATTAATGATGTCAATCCTTCAAATTTTTAATAGATGTTAGTCGCAAAAAAACTGTTTAAAGCTTTGTCTTTTCTTATGCGTTTTTCTAGATAGCTTTGTTTTACATCTGCTTTGTTTTTGAAATCGTTTATATATTTATAATTAGCTTTCGTTTTAGCTTTTTGTAAGAGAAAAAAGTCATTCAGACTGAAGTAAAGTTATTTTGACTTTCGTGATAAAATCAGTTGCATGGAAAATTGATTTTTCTTTAAACGACGCTTAATATCAGCAAAGTTGGTATTATATTGGCTTGATTTCAGCTCTTATCCATTTTCTGTTATTTTTTTCATTCAAAAAGTTTTTTAATTTTTATTTTCAGTAATTTGTTTAACTGATTAATCTTTTAAATCATTTAAAATTTTACATAATACTTCTAATTATTTTTGCTGGTTATTTGCATGCACGAATTTCTTTAGATTATATTAGGCAACTTTTGTATAATAAATTGTTATATCGCTTTTTACTCCAGGTTTTATTTTCGTGAGGATGCCATTAAGCAGTGCGGTTCTACAAGGTCCAGTATCATTCATAGTTGTATAAAGTCATACGTGGGATGAGAAATTGGCGCTAAGTTCATATTTTCGGAACTTGCAAATCGGCTCATGAATTTTTTGAATTTTGAACTGCTTGATGTAAAATTTATTGATTATTGTCAAGCTAACCAATGAGCCAACTAATTAACTAGTTTCTTTTGAAGTTGTCAGTTTGATGACATTTGAAAATGAAGGACGTCGACTAAGCGTATTAAATCATGAAATGCGTATTGACGTAAGATATTTGATTAAGTATAGATATTATAAGGAACGGATGGTTTAATTTAATGAGACCGAAAATTTAGGGCAGTGGGCATCGTTAAAGAATAGGAAAGCGCTCGGCTAGGAGAACATGAAGAGAATTTAAATATAAAAATATAAAGTGAATTGCCGAATTTGAACTGGACATATGACATGACGACTTAACATAAACTTTTTTCCGAATTTTTCATTTGGGTAGTTACTGGTGAAATCGTTCAGTTAAGGATAAAGTGAATCAGCAGCCATCTGGACTTTGCTTTTAGTTTATTTAGTGATAAGTTTAGTGATAAGTTTATTCCTATCTTTGCTTCTTTGGCAATCAAAGTGACATAAACATGCTGCAGTTTTATTCTTTTTAAAACTTCTCCATTTCAATAAACGGTCTATTTTTTGCCATAAAAAAGTTAGGCAATATGGATTTTTGACATTTCGTGATAAATTTTATGGCACGCGGCATTTGTGATTAATTACTGCACAAAAATTACCTTGGAAAGAAGTTAAAATTGTCACATTTTGTATTTTGGATTATTGAATATTAGTTTTATATAAATAAAATAGATAAATGATTATTTTCGACCTTTGAAATTCGAATTCATTCATGCGATTTTGTTTAAAAATCAGAAAATTTTCCATAATGAAAGGCATTTCATAATTTTTACAATTATCGTTTAATTGTGCTTAAAATTTATTTTCATTTATTTATTTTATTTTATAGAATTCAGCAATTATAGAATTATTGCTTATTTTTAGAAAAATAATCTAGTGTAATTTGTTGGATATTATTGGAGAACGCTGAATCTTATAAACTTCCAAGAGCAATCACCATATCTGGTTTGAGTGGCTATGGGATGCTGTCATTTTGGAGAAGCGCCATCAGTGTTTTACTTTTAACGATTTATTCCCCTTTACTTTTAACGCAATGGATAAGCTGAACCTATGGCGTTTAATCTAACTGAAGCAATACACCAATCAACTGCAACCATCCTGTCGTTTAAATCTTATAGTTTATTCGCTATCATCCGTATTTATCTTTCAATGGCTTTTTGTGATGCATTAGAAACAAATAATTGACCATTTGTTTCATGGTTATTAAAATTATTGATAAATATTTAATCTATTATTTAATCTTAAATATTCAATCTTAAATTATTGATAAATATACATAGTGATAAAAAGTAATAAAAATGATGGTTAGCCTCTACTATTTCTGGCCGGATTGATGGCTCACTGTTAATATGGTTGTAAATTATTGCCAAAGATCATTTGATGATAGAGAACTATAGGTAAGCACCCACTCCGATTTTGTAATAAAAGGTTCACTTTTGTCAGGGGCAAGATCCGAACCATTCTCTCTCCATAAGCAGAATCACTGTCCATCCACTCAGCCATTTTTCACCTAGTAACAAGTAATTAATGGTAAAGGAATAAATTTTTTCAATTTGATTGTTGAAAAAAATTAGGAATAATTATCGAAATATACGTGTCTTATTTTTTTATTGGTTATTTCATTATTTGCTTATTGCGGGTGCCAAAAATGTAGTACATCGTTCCTTCTTTTTAATTTACCATCGCATCTGCCAAGTTGAGAGGTTGAGTGCTTCGATTTATTCTTTTAAATGGCTGAAGCTATTAAAAGGTAATCGTGAAGGTCCTATTGCGCCAATGAATTATTATAGCAGAATAACGTGTTTATATCTGCCAAGTGGTTAAACTCGATATCGAGAATAATATTTATTTGAAACATTAGTTGTAAATATGTAATAATATAATATAAAACCAATAATAGTATAGTATAGTACGATATTAATCAGATGGATAAAACAATATAATATAGCTGGGTTGCAGTGGCTTGTACGATCTCAATCCTCTGACTTTAGTCATCGAGTTGATTTGATCTTTTCTTGAATTAAAAATTAAAAATTAAATTAAAAAATTATTTAATTATTATCAATTTTAAAAAATATTACAATTATTAAGAATTAAAAAATTCTTCTAATCATTACTGGTTAGGCTAGCTCCAAAGGCTACAAGGGTAAGAAGCTTCGAAACAGCGCGGTCTCATGCCATCATCGACAGTAATAGAAGCCATTTCTTTTTCCATCGTCCAAGTGCATATATTGCTGGTCCACCTATACATTCAAAATCTTTCCTGACCTTATCAGTCCAGGTCTTGATTGGCCCATCTCGCTTTTTACGCCATCCATTACACGATTTAACAAGTAACGAAATATGCGACAACTCTTGTGGTGGACGACGGAGAACGAGCCCCTAATCACTAAAGGCGAGGCTCTGTGATAACATTATTAATGCAAGCGATATTTGAACGAAGTTGGATGCGATCATGCGATATTTTATCCTCCCGATAGACCCGTAAAATGTACCTTAGAGTGGTCAAAGGTAGATAGTTTCTTAATATCCTCCACTCTCATTGATCATGTCTCAGAGCTATTTAGGAAGATCGAACGAATCACGGCATAGAGATGCGGATTTTCATTTTAATTGTAATTTCACAACGGTTCCGTAAAGGTTTCGCCAACCAACGCTTTTCTAGCTGCCGTAATCCATGCTATAATATCGTCTTTTGTGTGGCCATTTGGGATTAGAGTGGATCCACGGTATTAAAAATCAGGCAATTTCTCAACCGGTAATGAATTGATATAAATAAGTCTTTTATCACCATCTTGTATATAAGACGAAAGCACTTTAATTTTATTTACATTGATTTTGAGTCCAAATCTCGCTGCAATTCTTGACACATTGTTTAACATTATTTGCATTATTTGCATTTCATTATAACTGTCAGTAAAATGGACTACATCAGCATATTCAAGGTCTGTAATAATACTATACTCTGGACTGATTTGCACACCACTTGATTTTCGAAGAAGCTTATCAGTTCCTCATATACACAGATCCGCTCCGATGTATGCTCATAAAATGCATACTGCCTTTATAAATCGACTGATCTTCTCAGGAGCTCACTGTACCTGAATTTTTTAGTTTGAGATAGCTTAAGGATCTTGGGAGATGCTGTTTTCTGCGAGTTTTATGCGGATCTTGGCCCGAACCATAACATGATCAGATCCATGAAGATTGCCTGTTTCAGCGCCGCGATAGGTATATAGTACGGAATTTTTCCAGCGGTGACTGATTAATATATAATCAATCTGGTTGAAATGTCGGTTATCCGGAGGAGTTCCACGTGACTTGATGTTTTTTACGATGCCGGAAGTACTATTAGTAATAAAAAGTTCATGCTCGACATAACGAAAAAGGTATCTCCCATTGGCGCATTGTTCTCCGATGCCATATTATCCGTTATCCGTGCTATAATATCGTCTTTTGTGTGGCCATTTGGGATTAGAGTGGATCCACGGTATTAAAAATCAAGCAATTTCTCAACCGGTAATGAATTGATATAAATAAGTCTTTTATCACCATCTTGTATATAAGACGAAAGCACTTTAATTTTATTTACATTGATTTTGAGTCCAAATCTCGCTGCAATTCTTGACACATTGTTTAACATTATTTGCATTTCATTATAACTGTCAAAAAAAATGGACTACATCAGCATATTCAAGGTCTGTAATAATACTATACTCTGGACTGATTTGCACACCACTTAATTCCCGGCAAGCGATGCTCATTATCCAGTCTATCGCATAGTTGAATATTGTAGGGAAAGCACACATCCTTGACAGACCCAGTTCTTATTTCGAAGAAGCCTATCAGTTCCTCATAGATCTGCTCCGATGTACCTGCTCCTCATAAAATGCCTTTATAAGTCGACTAATCTTCTCAGGAACACTGTCGCGTTCCATCATCTTCCAAAGCGCCTCTCCGTCAAAGGTAG